ATGATAAAGGGCCCCTGGAAGAGGAGGAGCAGAGGGGCACTCAGGGCGGTGTCTGTCTGGGAGGTTTCTCATCCCACGCTGCCTCCCTGGCTCCTCGCTGCGCCAGCAGGGGCTGGTGACAATAGAGATGACAGTGCACAGTGGTGGGGAGACTGTGCTTTTAGGAAGATAAGGAGAGGTGCCGGCACAGGGCAGGTCCTGCCAGAGGAGCTCTGCCAGGCCCGTTCCTCGGCCACGCTGGGGCAGACACTCAGGCTCCCATGCAAGGTGAGTGCCGCACCCTGAGCTGTGCCCAGCTTCCCCTGGGCCTTCCTCGGCTGACCCTCCAGTGACCCTTTGCCCAGGCCTAGGACTCCTTCCCCATGCTCCTCACATCCCAGCCATCTGTCACTGTTCTCTCGTCCTCTGTGCTTGAGGCCAGGCAACACATTCATCCTGTCCCGCTGGGATGCAGCCTGTTCACGGCCAGGTGCCCCTTCCCTGGGGCAGTCGGGCCTCATCTTGCACTTGCCAGCCACCAACTTGCCATCATTTACTCATTCATCAAACACTCTTGGCAGGCTTTTCCCTGCCAGGCCTTGGGCTGATCTATCTGTGTGCTGCAGAGCTCTGCTCAGAGAGAGACACAAACAAATGGATAATCACAATCTAGACATAGAAGCCATGGAGGCCAGAGCAGGGGCCCAGGGGGCTGGGGTCCAGGGCAGGGGGAGACACCTGTGTTGGTGCCAGGAAAAACGGAAAAAGAGAGGGAGCAGAGAGAGAAGGAAGGACAGAACTGCCCCCCCCACACACACTTTTCTCCTTCTAACAGCACCTGGCCCGCCCCTCCAAGTCAGCCTTTAGGGCTATCCCTACAGCTGGTCCTGCCCATCGGCCCTTTTCCCTGGCAGTTGAGTTTAAATATTGATCCTGCCCAATGAAGGAGGGTTAAAATTCAACCCTGCCTGCTCTGGAAGCCAAAGCAGCAGGAAGCTGAGAGGGCTGGAGAGACAGAAAACAGGCACAGCTCGAGCTCAGGCTGGTCCAGGCCCTGCCCTGGGGCACCGAGTAGCCTGGGCAGGCTGAGGAGCCTGATCCCACCTGCCTTCACTCACCAGGGTGTGGCCCACCAGGGTGCGGCCAGGGGAAGCCTGCACCGCTCCAGCCACAGCTGCGGGGAAGACTCGCTCAGCCTCTTCTCCCAAGGACTCTGCCTGGCATCTTAGCGCCACCCAGGCCTGTCGCTGGCCCTCCCTGATTCCTTCAGGCAAGGGGTCTGGCTCTTCTGAATCAGTTCCCAGGGCCTACTCTGTCTGGCACACTCGGGTGAGATCTCTAGCACACCTTGCAGAGCCCTGAAAGCGGAAGTGGCTCCCCATAGCCACCTGGGGTACCACAGGCAGGGGCAGCACAGTCTCTACATCCCAAGGCTTCCCAGGACTCAGTGTGCTCAGATGTGCTCAGTGTGGCTGCTGGTCCTGGCCTAGAGCAGACAGAGGGGTGGAGAGCTGGCAGTGTCCCTGCCTGAAGCAGGACCTTCCTCTGTATCCTCAGAGATTCAGCTCCACTCAGCACCTGAGCTGAGGATGGGGTCCCACTGCTGAGTTGCAGCTCCTCAGGCTCTGGGTGACCCTGATCCTGATCTTCTCTGTCCTCTCCTCTGCTCTCACTCTGTTCACATTCCCAGGGGCTCTTCCTCCTCCTGGGGTCTCTGAGATAGCCACTGAGCGAGGTCCCCCAGCAGCACCCATGGCACCCCTTACACAAGCTGTTAGTAATGCAAATTCTCTGCCTTAGTGGGAGGCTCAGCTGGGACCCAGCACTGTGCACTGTTTTCTGCTCGCTTTTGGTTCTGGTTGTTTTTTGTTTTTTGTTTTCTTTTTTGGTTCCGGGGATTGAACACATGACCTCCTGCTTGCCAGGCAGTCACTTAAGCTGCCAAGCTAAATCCCCAGCCCTTTTGGTTCTATTTTGCAGACCTGGAGATGGAGGCTGGGCGCCTGTGCCTGCTAAGCACTAGTGGAGCTGCAGTCCAGCCCTGCCGCATCTCAACAGTGCTCCTGGACTCCGGTGCCTCTGGCCACAGCACTGTGTCTGAGGTGCAAACCAGGGATAAAAGCCTCCTTTAGGCTGGGGAGGAGGCTCACGGCATTACCCTGATTGGCATGTACAAGGCCCTTAGTTCTGTTCCTAGTACTGAAAAGAAAAAAAAGTAAATAAACAAAATATGTTGTGAATTACTCATTTAAAAGCATATGAACTCTTTGCCTCCTACTGACTTAGTATGAGCCAAGGTCATTGAAATTTTAACTAAGTCCATTTGATGGGTATAATAATCCTGCGAGGCTGGCAGAGTATTGGTCCCATTTGAGGGATAAGGAAAGGAAAGCACAGAAAAGTTAAGTAACCTTGTCTAGGGTCACCAAGCCAGGGGCCGAGTGTGAAGCCAGGTGTTGTTACCCACTATACCGGGGGTCCCCAGAGTGTGGATCTCAGGCTAGCACCATTAGCATCGTGGGCTGAGAGCCATTCAGCAATATGTGTCTGAAGCTCTGGTATGGGGCTGGCACCTGGTGAACAGCCACTTGGCGCTTTGTGAGGCAGCTCAAGAACCCAGCACACACTCTGCTCCCTAAACCCCAGCCAATCCATGCAACTGTTCTGGGAAGCTTCTCGCTTGCATTTCAGCTCAGGGCATGTTTGCTGGGACAGCCGTGGGCGTGCACAGGTGCCCTGTGGGAAGCAGCTGGATTAGGCTGGGCCTCCGTGGGGTCCAGCTGCCACATTCCCTCATTGACTAATGGGAGGGAGCGAGCCGCTGTCGCAGAGCGTTGTGAGCACTCAGCCTCCATCATCAGGATGTGTCCAGGACATAGTGATGGGTCCCTCAGATTGCACCGGGGTCCCTCTGGCACAGAGGCTGTGCAGCCAGAGAGGGCAGCCAGTGGCTCAGAAAGAAAGACTGGGTGCAGGCCGCTCCCTAACACTGGCCCCGTGGCTCTCCTAGCTCCACTCTGAGTTTTAGATCCTAATTGTATTGTTGTACACTGAATGTTCATGTTGCCCTAAATTCACGTCGATGTCACTGGGTTATGGGGAGGAGCTCGGGGGGGTGGGGGCACCTAGGTCCTGCTAGGTCCACAGGAATAGGTTAGTGTCCTGAAAAAAGAGGCCCAGGGAGCCCATTTACCCATGGGACAACACTGCTGAGAGGACGTCTCTGTGACCTAGGTAGTGGGCTCGAGCCAGATGCTGGACCACTGGGGCCTTGAGCACACACTTAATCTGCAGAACTGAGAGAAATACATTTCTACTGTTTGTAAGTCTCCCACTTGTGGTATTTTGTGACAGTACCCTGCACCAACTAAGACACTTCTGAGGCTCCTTCTCAGTGGTGCAATGTTAAGAGCTGTTTCTCACTGGGCTTAGAAAACAAATGTGAACAGCACTGCACATATGCATACCCATGCACACCCATGCATGTGTGCACACATGTGCACATACATGGATAGCCACATACTCACATGGCATACAAGGCCTCAAGTCAGCAGCACCACAGATCAGGGCATAGCCCTCAGTGGGCCAGAAAGTCACCTTGGGAGGTTAGAACCTGCATTCCTAAAGAAAAAAGTCCAAGCGTTTTGTAAAACTCCTTGTATGTAAGTGTGTACTGTGACACTGACAGCTCCTAGGATCGCTGGGTTCTCTGACCCAACCCCTGACCACTCCCATCTCCCACAGTGTCTCACTCAGCTCCAAAGGCCTGTCTTTGGGGTGCTGGGCAATATCCAATTCCCTACTCCAGGCTCTACCTAGGCTGCTCCACTTCCCTGGGAGCTCCATCCTGTGCCACCACTGGGCTCCCTGCTTCCCCCATGTGGTCTCGTTTCAGCCCCCAAAGGGTGCAGGGCAGGGGCATCCTGTGCTCCACAGAAGACGGGAGACTCAGCAAGGGCCTGAGGCTATAGCCCCACTTGGGGCCCACCCTGCCCCACCCAAGATGTGTGGATGCCTGCTGGATGCAGCGCAGGGGAATGTGGGAGCCCCGTGCTCTAGGTAAGAAGGTCTTTGAGCAGAGCAGGGGCTGCCAGCTGGCACAACTGGACTGAGGGTGTCAAGACACATCCTTGGTCTTGGCAGGTGGCAACGGGCTGTGGGATCACACAGCCAATATGACAGACAGTGTCTGGCACAGGCCACCTCCTGATCACACTAAAATTCATGGCGTCTTCTTTACGATGGGCTACTATTCAAACCAATCCAACCAAACAAAAACAAACAGACACAGAAAATAAAAAGTGTTGAAGAAGTGAGGAAGTTAAAGCCCTTCTTGAGCATGGCTGGTGGGAATGTACAATGATACAGCTGCTCTGGAAAGCAGTATGGTACTTCCTTTAAAAAATAAAAATAGGGGCTGGGGATTTAGTTCAGCAGCACAAGCACCTGCCTGGCAAGTGCAAGGTCCATGAGTTTGATCCCCAGTACCAAAATAAATAAATAAATAAAAATAAATTTCCATATGCTACCACCATCCCATTCTAGGTTTCTGCCCAAAAATGGAAGCAGAGTCTGCGTACACCCATACACACAGCAGCATTATCATAATAGAGAGTGGAGGCCAGGTCAATGAACTCATAAAATGCTGCCTAGTCACATGAGAATACTATTCAGCCTTGAAGAGGCAGGAGAGTCTGATGATACCTGCTGCAATTAAGACAGACAGGAAAAGACAAATATTATACAATTCCATCTAAATCATGTACCTTGGGTCATCAAACTCATAGGGACAGAAAGTAGATGGTGGCTGCCAGGGGCTGGGAGGGGGAGTGAGGGGTTAGGGTCCCACAGGTGCTGGGTTTCACTAGTGCAAGATGAAAGCCTGGATCTCTTCCGGGCTTGGTATCGGCTTCCCAGCGGGAACACCAGCACCACCAACTGTGCACCTAAAAATGGCAAAGATGGTGATGTTTATGTTCACAACTGAATAAGCAAAACAACTCAAGGCCTGAGCCAAGGGGTTTCTGTCAAGTAAGTTTTATTTGTAGTCCGAACAAAGCCCAGACCCCACCTATACAGACTTCTCATCTGTGCGTCTCCCAGGAACAAGAATGTATCCTTTATTTCAGGTATAGAAACAACCTGGTAGCATGACAATTTAGGTCTCAACAGCCACCTCCCCATGACCTGACACCCTCACCTGGCCCACCTGGGTCACCCCAATAGACAACCCCACCACCCTTAAGAAAATTCACCCAATCTAGAGGGAGGTGGGCAGGATTCAAATCGCTTCAAATACACAAACATTAGAGGCTTCCGGGCAGTGAGCAGGACTGGTGGGAGGTACACAGATAGTCCCCTTTGCATCTGTCTTTAACAGCTGAGCCTTATGAAGGCACATCCCTCCCCATGGGGCACACACGGGTGCGGGGTTTTCTACTTGTGGTGTCATGTCAGTGCATTTTGAGGTATCTCCAGATGCAGTATTGGGGTGCTCAGCCTGCAGTCATTATGGGGCTTTTGCCCTATCCCTGACTCCTCCATGTCAGCTTCCACACCTGGGAACCTGGGGGACTCATCCCACAGATCTGGAGGGAGCGTCAGTGACAGCTGAGCGGAAGAGCACAAAACTCAGCCCGTGGTGGGGGACCAGTCAGCAGCAGTTGCTACACCATATACTGATGCAGAATGGAGCTGTACTGCCATGGTCGGCTCTTAAGGGTGACCAGAGCAGTCCACTGGGGATGGACAAGCCATAGGGGACAGAGCTGCCTCATCTGGACATAGAGCCACCTCCCTTAATACCAAGGGTTTCCACCATCAAGGGAAGGTACAAGCCAAGCCAGGAGCCTCCCAGTCACACAGCAGGACACATGGGGAGAGGCTCGTAGACCCCAGAGAAGCTAAAAGGTCCTCTGTGTCCCCACTGAGAGAAAGGGAGGCCCAGAAGCCCTCAGGATGGCTCTCGGGCACACAGAATGCATCTCCTGCTTTGGAGCGCACTCAAAATGTTTTTATTACATAAGACAGTTCTTAACGTCTGGGGTTTTTCCTTTACATAATTCAGCAGAACTAGAAGTGACAGAGGTCTTGTTCAGTGGTCACTAAATTTTCTCTGTCTAGGGTTAGAGAGTAAATATTTTAGGCTTTAAGGGCCCACAGCCAAAACTGATAACTATATTGGCATGAGAGAACAAATTCCCACATTTTGTTGTCTTGTTTTTCAGAAGATAAAACCTAGCGCCTCATTCATGCGAGGCCAGAACTCCGCTACTGAGCTACAGCCCCAGTCCATACAACTCAACTGATGCAAGTCAAAACATAACAATTGAGCATGTCTTTTTGGTGATACAGGTCTACTAATGAGAAGACTGTGATTTTTTTTTTTTAAGCAGGTGTGGGGTTGAATAGCATCTCCATTACCTGGGTTGAAAGACAATGTTCCCTCTCATCAAATCAATGGCAAAATCAGACCAAAAGCTAGGTCTGCCCCCATTTACCAACCCTGACAACAGAGGACAGATACTGCTAACTGAGGCTGGGCAATGGGGATGGGGTGACTACATTTTTTGGCTTTTAGATCAGGGCCTGAAAATAGTCCATGATGAAGGTTTCCCTGTCCCTTGCCAGCCCCCTCAGCTCACCTCATGCCTCAGGTGAAAGGCATGAAGAGCAGTTTACACTGGCCTTTTGAACTAGTGACTGCCTCTCCTCACCATAAGCCATCAATGACTCTGTGTAGATCAGTAAATCCACACCTCAGAGCCATCTCCTGGGGACACTGTCTCTACAAGGCCCTGTATGCCAGAGGTGGGATAGCAGGTTCAGCTTGGGCCACTGGCACAGGAGCGCCACTCAGATTTGTCATGTGCTACCGACAGGTGGCCCAGGCGCAGAGCTGGAAGGTGAGTGCCTGGTCTCCAGCCCCCACTTCCCTGTCTCAAAGTGGGAAATGGGAGCAGCGCAGTCAGAGAAAAGGCACCAACATTTCTTACTGGCCAGTGTGATCAGCAAGACAGCGCACCCTGATGGGGAGGTGGCCACGTGGAAGACAGTTCTGGGTCCTTGCTCCTGGGGTGCTGGTCAGGTACCAGCTGCCCAGGCACTGCTCACACTCCCTGAAGAGCTGACTTTGGGTGTGCACCCTTTGGGCAATAGCACCATTGTGAGCCTCATGAACAGGGCCTCTCTGCTCCTGGAGTAACCTGTGAGATCAAAGGGAATCACCCAGCACCCAGGGATCTGCGTTCCCCTAACCCAAAAGAGCTATATGCCCAGGGAACCAGTCAGCACCATACCACACTAAGGAGCCCACACATGTGCACAAACACACGTGTGTAAGATACAGCTAACAGAAGGTCCCGGGGCCCCTGCTAACTGCACCCAGAGTTAGGAGCTAGAGCTGATTCCTAAACATGTGATGGGGATGATGTGACTCATGTCAAGATGTTTGCAAGCTTGCAACATAGGAGGCTGGAGTACCCTACACACCCAGGATGAGCATACAGAATGGTCACCCACTGTACAGTTTTGATAAAGGGGAGCAGTGGGAAAGCCCTGGCACCCCTCAGGCTCAGCATGAGACTGTGCCCTGTCTGTAATTTTTTCTTTTGTGGGGAGGGCTGTGCTGGGAAACAAACCACTCTATCAGAACCAGGCACCCACCGAGCACCCAATCTCTATTTCCAAGCCGAGGAAACAGAGAGACAGAGGCAAAAGGACTCATGCTCAGCATGAGCAGGCCAGCAGCATGCCCAGAACCCTGACCCATGGCCTTGTCCTCCCCACCATGGCTTGGGCAATGCCAACCTTAGATTCCCCACTCCTCTCTCAGCAAGCCTGGAGCTTTTTCCCTCTGCTTCACAGACAACAGGAAAAGAGCCTTTTCCATTTATTTGACCAACTTGTTAATGATTTTCTTCAGTGGCTCAGGCCAGCCCCACAAGCAACATTTGGACTTGGAAACCTGTGACACATTGCAGGACTCCAGCCTGTTCCCAGTAAAGCCCTAAGTTAACAGCTCTGCTTAAGGGGCTGAGGCTGACTGGGCAAGGGGTCACTAGGGCAATAGCCACCCTTTGCCTACCCCAAGCCAGGACTTCGAACTCCCCGCTCTACTCTCCCCCTTTTCAAAGGTGTACCGCCCCTTCCCCCAGCAAATCCTATTGTTCCCCTCTCAACAGCCTCTGTTTCCTTATTAAAAGTGCAACCTGGTAAACAGGGAAAGATTTATCCTGACCTTGCAATCCGGGCTGGCCGACTGGCCTAACAGCAAACTCAGCTTTGGCTTCCAGTTCAAGATAGTGGCCTGGGTCGGGAGATGAGCAGGGTTGAAATACATGGTGTTATCTTTTTCTGAGATTCACTTTTAAAAGCCACTGCCTCCAAGAAGCCAAATCTAGAAAACAGAGCGTAAATGGCAGAGAAGGCCCTACCAAGAGCTTCCTTGCCCACCAGGCCCAGGCCTCTGGACTCAGAGCTCCCAGGAAAGACACTGGTCAAGAGTGCTAACTGCTATGACTTTTCTATATATTAATAAATGAAAAATAAAACCAAAAGCTTTAGCTCACCTGACTGCCATGGAAGGGAAAGCAGCTGACACACTTTGGTACTAAATTACTATTTGTCCACTTTGAGTATTTCTCTTCCTTTGCAAGCTATAAGATTTAACTATAAGGCAAAGGGAGGTTGATAACAGCATGCATGTAAGAGAACGGAAGACTATGAACTATGAGCTTCTGGTAACAGACCTTTATTAGACCTTCTTTTGGAATTATGAAGCAAAAACACCAAGCCCTCACATCATTTCTCTCTGAATTAAAATGTAGCCTGTTGTCACTCGGCCTGGGTAGTGGTATCACTTAGGTATGATGGCTACAGATGCCCTGAAGGGCTAAGGGTCAAAAACAGTCCTGATTCTCCCACTAAAAGGAAGTGCGACCTTGAGTGAACTATTCCACTTCCACATGACTCAGTTTCCTCATGATCCAAAAAAAGGGAAATGAGTGGTCTTGACCTTTCACCAGGACTAGGAGGTGGTGCTGAAACACACTGACATAGACCCAGCACTGTTGAGACAGGTGAAGAGAGAGTACAAGAACACAACTTACACAAAGCAGTTATAAAAATAGTGGAGCCAAACACAGACCGAGAGGGAGAAAGGCGAGCTTTCTAATTGCAGCATTGTACCCCACAAAGAAAGATCCAGCAAGAACCAGGGTCCTTTAACAAGGGTGCCAAGACAACTCCATAGAGAAGGAATGGGTTTTTCAATAACCCTGGTACATGTGGATATCCAACACTAAAGAATAAGGCTGGACTCCTACTCCACAACATGTACAAAACCTAACTCCAAATAATCAAAGAGTGGAACTGGGGATTTAGCTCAGCAGCGTAAGTGCCTGCCTTGCAAGTACACAGTCATGAGTTCAATCCCCAGTATCAATTAAAAAAAATCAAAGACCACTGTGAGAATTAAAATCACAAAAATCCTTAGGAGAAAATATAAGCGTAAGTCTTCCTGACCTTGGATAAGGCATTGATTTCTTAATATGGCATCAAAGGCACAAACAACAACAAAAATTGTTAACTTGGACATCACCCAAATTAAAATCTTTTGTGCTTCACAGGACACTCTTAACAAAGTGAAGTTAATACATGGAATGGTGAAAAATTTTACAAAGCATATATCTGATAAAATTTTACAGTGCATATACCAACAACTCATACAACTCAGTAAGACAATCTGATTTAAAAATGGCTATGGACCTGAACAGACACTTTACCAAAGAAGGTACACAAATATCAGTAACCACAAGAAAACCCACCAGGGAAATGCAAATAAACATGATAAGATATCACTTCACACTTGCTGGGATATTGTGAGAAAGAAGAAAGATAACAGCAAGTGTTGGTGAGGATGCAGACTATGAGTGTAAATATGAAATACTATAGCTACTGTGGAAAACATCCCACTGGTTGTGTCAAAAGTTAAACCCAGAGTTACTATTATGAACAGGTAACTCCACTCCTATTATATATCCAAAAGAAATGAAAATGTATGTCCACAAAAAACTTGTACAAATATGTTCATAGCAGCATTACTGAAATTGTGAAAAAGTAGAAATATCCAAAATGTCCATCAACTGAAGTGGTACATCCATATAGTGAAATATTATTTGGTGATACAAAGAAATGAGGACTGGTACAGGTTCAATGTGGTTAAGTGGCTAAATGAAAAAAGCCAGTCATAAGAGGCCATATTGTATGACATCATATGCACAGAATGTTCAGAATAGGGAAATCTACATAAAAAGTAGATACATGCTTTCTTAGGTCTGAGGAAGTTGGGGATAGCCAAAGGACACAGGGTTTCTTTCGGGGACCAGGAAAATATTCTAAAATTGATGCAATCCCATGACTCTACTCCAAACCACACAATTGTACATGATAAGCAGGGAATCTGAATGGGATGTAAATTATATGTCAATAAAGCTATTAACCCAAACCCTCTTTCTCTCCTAAAAGAAGACAAAAAGTCAGGACCTGTCTTCACTGTGCAGGGAGCACCATGACTCTTGATCCAGCATAGTTACTGATGGACCCCTTTTCTCTCCAAAGGATCCTGGTATGTGTATCATACACCTGGTGTCTTTGCCTCTCTGAACCTCAGTCTCTGCATATTCTGACAATCTTTGAGCCTAGCACTATGCTGTATTCCACAAAAGCTCCACTTCAGAAGCTGTAAAATCCTACTCTAGTGGCCACAGGGTTCAGCAAGGATTGCAAGATGAACCCAACTTAGCAAAGAGCTTGAAGCCCTGGGCTCATACTCATCACTGGATCCTAAGTCCCAGAGGGAAAACAAGACTGTCTGTCTTAGTCACTGATCCACAGTTAAGAAAGGTGACCCAATCTTTCCAATGCAAAGTACCCTAAACATATCCCCTACAAATGAAAAAAGATGAAAAACTCAAAGAGCCCCACCACCACCATAGAAAAACTAGCGTCCTTAAGAAGCTTAGTAAATTCACCGGTGGTTAATCACAGACTTTTCTACATGGGATTTTGTAAGTCCATGCTAAAAAGTCTGATACTATGGTGGTCAAAGTCATCTGATGATACAGTGGAATGCTTATTTCCTAGTCCTCCTTACCCATGACTGCCTAAGAGATAAAATCATACAAAGTAAGTCAAGAGAAATCACTTGTTTCTCAAACCTTCTCTACTTATAAAAATATGCCTGAAAAAAGTTTTTATGTTATCACCCACCTCTCAACTCCTAGACAGCATCAGACTTAGCATCCATGAGACAGGTCAGACATATGCACTGCGGTGCCCATTACGTCAATGCACAGATACAGGTACATCTCTGGGATTTGCAGTGACGGATTCTTAGAAATATGGTGAACTAAGAGAAACTTAGTTCACTGAAAAGAAAGTTTGTGCTATTATCTGTTAATTTCTTCCTTGCAAGAGGACTTTTTTAAAAAAATCTATGTCTTCTCTGAGTAACTACTTTGAAGATCATATATAGTGTATTAAATATTATTTTCTTTAAAAAAATAAACATGGTGAAGGTAAAAGGAGAAAGCACAGAACAGCATCACTCCCACAGATTCATCCAAGTACAGGAGAGAGAGATGTCCACCGTGGTCACCGAGAGGGAAACAGAGGAGAATGGGGCAAAGTGGACCCAGTAGCCAGAAGCACTGGGCCTGAAGCCAGCTATGCAAGGAGGTGGGGGTGTGAGTGAGGCAAAGCTTCCTCTGGAGGCAGGAGAGCGATCAGAAGGGGCGATACAAGTGGTACCAAGATTCCTGAAGAGCCTCTACCTAAGGAGCATGGAGCTTTAGAGCTGAGCTACTATGTGTCTCTTTAGAGTGTCAGGTTTGGGAGGGAGAAGAACAAGGAACTGTCCAAAAACTGGAGGCTGAGAGGAAGGGAGAGGGAGACACCAGTTTTCTGCATCCCAGACTTTAGGTCCACAGGTTTCTGCTGGTTGGTGGTCTGTAGCTTCCATGGAGTAGGCAGGGTCCCTCAAAGCTTCAGCTTGCCAGGTAAGACTGCAGCTGGCAGTGGTACAATTTCTACATCCAAGGCATTCGTGGGGCTGGGAGTCAGTGCATTTCCTACCGCTCGCTGCTCAGAGCCCACACTTGAGAATGATGTGGTAGCCATCATTGCTCTCAGCTGAAACAGAGAAACACAGGCATATTTCACAGCAATAGAGGCACAGTGCTGTAGTATTTGGGAGTAGCAGCAGGCATGGAATTCAGGTACCAGCAGAGGTGCCAAAATAAGGCCACAGGAAGGAGAGACTCTGGCACCCTATCTTAGCAGCCGCCCTGACAAGTTAGTTCCCCACAATGGGACTTTTGATCACAGCCAAGAGAAACAGCACCCACGTCCAAGGAGACTTTGAACAAACTGGGGTTCTCAGGCCCATAAAAGCACTCATTTCCTGTGCTATAGTTTGGTTATGAACTGTCTCCCAAAGGCCCATGTGGAAGGAAGCTATGATCCTGGGGGAATGCCCTTGAAGGAGACGTGGGATTCTAGCTCCTCTTCTCCTCTCCCTGTTTCCCCACTGGTGGGAGATGAGCAGAGCTTACCCTCTCATGTGCTCCCACCACCACATGCTGCCTAGTAACAGGCCCAAAAGAAATAGAGGCAGCTGATCGTGCACTAGAACCTTCACAACTGTGAAACAAAATAAACGTTTCCTCTTTTTAAGTTGACTACCTCAAGTATTTTGTTACAGTAATGGAAAGCTAATATAGACTAGACTCATAAAATAGAGAGTGAAATGGCCTCATCACAGTTCAGTCTATGACCCAGTCACAGGGCTTCTCTTCTGATACTGTTCATCGATTACTCTGCCAGTGCCAAGAAAAAAATCACACCAGGTCCTTCTCAACCTTTTATGAATAAACATGTGTTCCTACCACGTGACTTTCTCTCTGCAGAGAGTGGGCATGCTGGTGTCCTCTCAGGGCATTTAGTTCAGGTGGATCCTTGTGTTCCCCCTGGAAGTCCCCAACCATTCTGCTGGCCACTGTATTCCATGCTTGGGCTCCCTAGAGGCCCTTCAGAAAATGCAAACAGATGTTGCTTCTCCTCAGCCCTGAGACCACTGAGAACAAAGTGCCTGGCCCTGGATCTTCCCTTCAGTAGTAACTCTGAGGCCAGTCTCGCTAGTTCTACATTTCCAGGAAGCCTGTGTTTCCTCCTTCCCAAAGCTGTTCGAGCTGACCACCTTCTGGAGGGGCCCACACAGGCTGCTCCATGCTCACTTCCAACCCCACTAGATGCATATAACACACGTCCACTAGTCAAGGTGGGACCGGGGGCTTTACCTTTTAATGTGCTGAGGATAAAACAAGATTCATCTTGGAAATTCTGCACCATCTGAAAGGTAAAAGAGAAAACATGTTGCCTCAGTGAGGAGTTTATAACAAGGCTCAGTGACCTAAAGCCCAGACATGCACAGCTGCAGAAATGACCATCCACAAAACTCAGGCACATGGTGACACAACCACTGCTGAAACATGGAAGACACAGAACTGACTGATGGGTGTCACCACTGGAATTTAACAACAAATCTACCTGCAAAGGATGGAAAGCAGTCTAGAGGGAGTGAAGATGCTTCTGTTAGCTGGGTATGGTAGTGCACACCAGGAATCCCAGCACTATGGAGGCTGAGGCAGGAGGATTACCTTGAGTCTGAGGCCAGCCTGGACTATATAGCAAGTTCATGGCCAGCTTGAACTACACAGTGAAATTCTGTCTCAAAAAAACAAGCTCCCATTTCCTAGGGAACTCTGGGATTCATTTACACTTGTTTTGCATCATTGCAGTCACTGGGTCTTCTAATTTCTGCACAGGCCATATGACAGGAACATGAATGTGTACAACAGCAATAGAGGAAAAAAAGCAAATAATAATATGTTTTGGCTGACAGTGGACCATATATACAACGGTGGTGCCAGGAGACTAGAAGAGCTGAAACAATTCTATCGTTTTGGGACAGTGCAGCCACAGTGAATAACATGGCCGCAGAATGCACCATTCATGTTTGTGGTGATGATGCAGTTTATCTATGTGCTTCCAGTTAGAACACGGAATATATAGTACTTGGTGATAATAAATGCCTGTGTTGCTTATGTACTAACTATACTATATTTTTAGATACTTTAGAGTAAATTCCTTCTACTCATAGCAAGTTTGTCATGTTTCACTAGTAGCAGCCTCAAAAATGCTTACAGTACCTTTTAGCTGCACAGAGAGGCCATGTACCGTGACCGACCTACACCGTTTAGGTCGGTAGCAGTGCAGTCCAGGATGCCCGTACAGTGAAGAATTCATCTAATGATGCATTTCTCAGAAGGTGTCTGGTTGTTTAAGTAATGTATGATTCCAAGATTTTTTTTTAATGCTTTAACAATGAGTAGGATCAATACAGTACTATCCTGTGAGCATTAGATATAAAGGAAGCCACCTCTCTGTGGCTACAGAGATGACAGGAAACCAGCAGTGACTTACAGTGCTTCCCTGGAGTCCTCATCATGAGTCACTCCCCAGAGACCTTTGATAACTTTCTCTCATCCTGGCCTTACCTATAAAATAGGGCTGTTTCCGAGATTAGACATGTAACCAGTACAAGGTGTGATGGTGCACACTTGTAATCACAGCTACTCAGGAGGCTGAGGCAGAAGTATTGTAAGCTCATGGGCAGTCAGGGCAACACGCTGAGAGCCTGTCTCAAAGCAAAACAGGCTGAGGACAGAGCTCAGTGACAGCGCATTCCTGGGTCCGATCCCTAATACCACCAATAAAAACAACAAACAAAAAATCCCAGGGTGCAGAGCCACAGAACCCAGTACCCATAGCTGGTAGAGGTGGAAATCTTTACAATAAACTTCATGTGACCAAGTGGGATGACTGTGCATCTCTCCCGCAAGGCGTGTACCTTACCCCAAGCATGTCCAACCCCTGGCCCTTGGACTACAGGTGGTCCTGTACAACTAGTAGTAATCCCACAAAATTTTAACATTACCATGTGACTTTTAGTGACTTTTTAATGACTACACTGTATGGGCTCAAGTCAGGCTGCACAGGCAACAACAGAATACCATGCTGAGGAGGGAGCAGGGCAGCATTAACTTCACCTCCTGTGCCTGCCAAACACGGGCAAGTCAAACCCACGTGCCCACATGCATTACATGTTACATGAGCTCATGCAACTTAATGAATAAACCTCAGCTGTTACCAGTAATAGCACTACCTGCGTATGTGGGCACCTGTGAAGACAGGCATTTATTTCCATTAACTATTCTTATTTAGATTTATTATTTAATGATTAAACTTGCGCCTTCCGGTGTTATTTCACAGAATAATAAGTTAAAACCATATGATTACTTACACACATTAGCTACTCATGTATTTTATGTGTGACCTAAGACAATTCCTCTTTATCAGTGTATCCCAGGCAAGATAAAACATTGTACAGCATGCCCGAGATGAACTCTGGTGTACACAGAGGCAGGCATATGGCCATTCATGGTAGTACTATCTATAGTAACACAGAACTCCAAGCAACTCCCATATCAGTCAATAGCAGAAGCAAACCAACTGTGATCTAAACATGCATGCTGCTCAGGAGAGCCCAGACATCCACCTGCCCAACAAGCATGCTGGAATCTCTGAATTATAATAGAGAAACTAGTTGTGCATACCTACAATCTCAGCGCTCTGGGAGGCTGAGGCAGGAGGATCCCAAGTTCAAGCCCAGCCTGGGCAATGTAGCCATTTGGTGAAACCATGACTCAAAAAAAAAAAAAAAAAAAAAAAAAAAGATCTGGGGATGTATGCTGTATTTCATGATACACATTTCAAGAATATTAAAAATATAGCAGTATCCACATACATAAACATGCGCAAAGAACCACACTCTACCCAACATGACAGCAAAGCTCCTTCACAGATGTAAAAAATGCAACCCATGAGTTGGGAACTGCTCAGAGATGAGCATTTGTGTGGCATGCACAAGGCCCTTGGTTTGATCCCCAGCACCATAAAACACAAAACATTCTATTGCTTGCTCTGGATTTTTGTCTCAAATCTCAAATAATCCATCCACTGTCAAACCTGGCCCTCTCCACTGGGCCCAGTGATGCATGAAGTACATTTTTCAATACCGCGGCCTGCTCCATCCAGGGCTGCTGGCAGCCCAACCACTTGGGCACAGAAAGCCCAAGGCAGAGCCTGCACAGGCTTAATCAGTAACTCATGTGTTTAATTAAGCACCTTACACCCCAGGGGCCAGCTCCTCGGCTGGCCAGGCTGCCTCCGGCACTAGGGCAATTAAGAACCAAAGGTTTCCAATTGACTCAGGGTTAAGAGGCAAGGAGACTTTGGGGAATAAGAATCACCTACTTAGCCAGGGTGGTATTTGAAGTCTGTTCTCTGCTTCACTTGCTTAACGGCCTACTTGCAACAGGGAAAGTGGGGTCAGGAACTTCCTTAGGGGCTCGTAAAATTGCAAAGGTTCCCTGCATTCTTGCCTTTTGTCTTCCCAAAAAGAAATTTGCCCTGCAATAGAAAGCCACACGCCTTCCAGTCCACTACAACTGCCCATCGCTCAGGGCAGGCATGGCTGCCTTCCAGGCTGCTCTCTCAACTTTCCTTACCTGGAAAATGGGGGCAAAAAAAGATAGTTGCTTTGGACTTGAATGTGGAAGGAATTCTGACTTGGTTACAGAAATTGCAGGCTGCCGGTGAGTACAGAGCTGAATCTTCATTGTGTATTTGAAAGCCCACACCTGTCTACGCACACACACTAGGACATGTGCACAGACGCATCTAGCAGAATCACATCAAACCTGACATCAGCCCGTGGAGGCCAAAAAAGGTCTTCCTCAGCTGCCATCTGCTTTCTATACTGCTTGACTTATACTAGTTATGAATTAAAGGCAAGAAAAAAGTCTTGCCAGCTTCCAGGATCAATATGAAACTGGTGAACATTAAAGGGTTGTGGCAGTTGCAATAAGTGCCAAAGGATCACTACTGCTTAGATATCAACCACCATCCACCAAATCTTGCCTAAAGACAAAAGCCTTGCATGGGCACAGCCATTACAAAGAGCATCTTACTTAGCATCTGTCTCCTGGTTCCTGCATCATTTTCCCATTTTACCCCAACTGGCCTGATAGGTTTAATCACTCCTATCCTGTCAATGCAGAATCTGAGGCTCAGAGAGGTTATATGAATTTAAGGCCACTAAGCTTGGGGTGGACAGTTCTGGATGGAGACACCAGTCCAATGCTAAAGCCCACAGCTTCTCTCCTTTATCTAGCCTCCATCCAGTTCCCAGGTTCTTCTCTAATCCTCTACATAGGGGATTTCAGAATTTCTGGAAGCATCTTAGGGTCTTCTGGAGGTGAGCCCAGGGTTAGGGGCCCACCCTTGCTCCCACTAGCACCATCTTCCTTTCCAGGGAAGCTGGGTATCGACTGGCCAGAGCAGCTGGATTGCCTGGGTTCTCACCACAGCTCCCCCAGGCTACAGTAATAGAAAGCAGACCAACACAGAAGCCAGTGCATACTGCCACTTGTCACTGTTACTACTGGGAAAGAAGGCACAGGTGGAACAAGCATAAAAGCATCTGTTCTACAATGTGTGCAGCATGTCTGCCCTGGTCAGCAGCCTGTCAACAACGCCTCAGAAGGTGGACACAATTCCAGGCGCCCATTGAGTACCTGGGTCCTCTGCCCTCTGCTGCTTTTGGCTACGTAGGGCATGTTTCTGGGGACAGAAACAGGGAGGCTACAGCACCTTCACCCCTTAGCAACGATTCTTGCTCTCGGCTCCTGAGAGCCAAAGGTGATCCCTTATCACCCCCAACCTCCTCTCCTTGTGCTCATCCTGGGGATGCTGCCCACTCTGGGAGAGTACCATTCTGACTCGCATAGCCCTCAGAGCTTTGAGGATAGGGGTAGGATTTGTGCCAATGGGGCTGCAGGGCACCCAGCTGAACCCAAATGTGGCCTCAGAGATCTCCTACTGGCACCCCAGGAAGCCCCTGCAGCTAAGCAGGTGGCACACTGATGAAACCTATCTATAAGCTGCAACACTTCTGGCCCAGGGTCCTGGGGTTTATCCTCCAAGTCCAAAGCCCCAGTGCTGGGGGCTGGGCTGGCAGCAGCCTCACCTCATTGCTCACCAGCACGTGGATGCCCGTGGGGCCCTGCCGGTAGACTCTGTGGATGTGCTGGGGGGGGATGCTGTACAGGTTGGCGATCTTCTCAACCAGCTCCAAGGTGGTCAGCTCTTCCAAGAAGATGGCATGGTACACTGCAGGAGGAGGGGAGAGTGCCTTCCCTTTCAGTGGCCATTAAGTTAGCAGGTGCCCACCTACAGCCCTCACCCCATCGTAAGAAAGCAATCACTGCTTTGTAAGGACGCTCCTGGCAGCATGACAGGGACCTGCCCAGAAGCCTCACACCCCAGAGCACAGTTCAATCCACCCACAGGTGGACAGGAGCCAGGCTGTGGCTGTCTGCTTTCCCCTCACTCCCTTGGCACATTTGTGTGAAACACAGTGACTTCTGGACCTGCTGCAGACCCGAGGACACCCAGGGGTATGAGGGATCAGGTGATTCTGATGTGCGGCCAGGTATGCTTCGGGAGGAGGAGGAGCCCAGGTCACTTTTCTTTCCTTCTAGGTCTGAAAAGGTTCCTGACAGCTGCAGGTCAGGACTGATGTCTGAGGACAGTCCCTGCCTGACAGCAGAAGGGCCATGACCTGGGCCTTTTCTTCCTGAGCACTGTGACCCCAGCGAGCAGGGGAGGCCCCAGGGGGCCCAGTGTGGTCAGCAAGTCGGAAGATACCAGTGGTGCTGACAATAGAGGTGCTTCCTTAGGCAAAGCCCAGGGCTGGCGGGAAGGAGCAAACTCCAGGGACAAACAGGTAGGTTACTCAATTCTGAGGGACTGGAGGGTTTCAAAAACAAACATAAGTGGATTAAACTCAAGGTTCCCAAACTTCTCCCTCCACTAAGGAATCCTTGGTTCAAAGCCCAGAGGCCTGATAGTTTCTAAGCACACACAGGAGGTTCCTGTTAATGGCGGCTGAGGCGCCATCGCTCTCTTCCACAGCCCCTCTGGGACAGAATTCTAATGGTGCTTCTTTTTATCTTCAACCTGGCATAGCCAGTTCCATTATTTTCTGATTTTATACCTCAAACAAATTGAGTCCTGGGTCCTAAAGAACCAGATGGACCCCAGGCTGACATGGTTCATCATAGTCTCTGCCCCCAGAGTGCTTAGAGAGAGAGCAGTAGGCACAGGCCCCAACTCCACACCTCCTCTCCTCAGGAGCCACATGGGGGGCAGTCTGGGGAGATTAGGGCTCTGCCATGGGCAATCAAGGGTTCAAATGCTGGCTCTGACACTTCTGGGTCGCAGGAGGACTTGGAGCACTAGGGTAAGGGTGTGCTGCACAGCTGCCCAAAGTGAGGTCAGACCACACACTACGCACTGCCCAAAACACATGAGGCTGCCCTATATACACACGGGAAATCCAGGGAACTTGGCCTGACCTTCACAGGACAACACTGAAAAGCAGGCAACAAGGCCTGGGTGCTCATCAGAAATGCAGAGGCTAGGCCAGGCCTTGAAAGCCAAGGCTGAAGGGTCGGAACGTTTTGAGGTCCGGGCTCTGCAACTCACCACAGAGGCTGCTGTCACTGCTGCCATCCCTCTTCTGCTGCAGGGATGCCCGGTTCTGCTCCAGCTCCTGACAGACATAAATGGTCATTTTTGGCCTCACGTTCCTGGTAGAAGGAAAGGAAATAAACATCACATGTGGTTCTAGAAGGCTCTAGAAGGTTCTGGAATACAGGGTAGAGATTATAGTGAGAAAGCTTCAAAAGCAAACGGAGGATGCAGGATGCCTTTCCCAAAAGGACAGGAAGGGACAGAGTCTGGTGAAGGATGACCCTCCACACCTTCTGCAGACCACACTTTTAGCGATGTGCAAGGCCGGGGCTCCACCCCTGATACCACCAAATGAAAAGAACTTTCCACACAGGACTCATGCTGTCTCCACAGCTGAGGGAGCTTGGATCATTACCATTTCACAGATGAGTAAAGGGCTTCCTTCATCACATAGCTCATAAGAGACAGATATGGGCTCTAAACCCAGGCACACTCTCCCTACACCCTCCATGCTGTCCATGTGTGGCTATAAAGATCCCGGCATAAGACTGGCAGTGTAACACCATGGTACAGTGCATGTTTAGCATGCACGGGGCCTTGGGTATGAACCCCAAAACGAGAAAATAAAAAGTGAAGTTCATTCAAGTTAAATAAAATTTAAAATTGAGTTTGCCCATCACATTAGCACAAGTGGCCAACAGCTCCCAGACTGACCGGTTATCTAGTTCCAACCAGCTGGCCTACCCAGCCCACCCACACAACAAGAAGATCAGCAAAGGGCCCGCTAGGTTCCCTGAGAAACCACCACCCACCTGCCTTTGATGGCATTGAAGAGCCGGATTCCGTCCGCAGGGCCACAGATCTGCACCAGATCATCTCTGGACATCTTCAGCAAGTCTGAACCTAGGCAGGGAGATGAGCAGCCCTCACGTGGGACATGGGAAAGGGCTCCATCCCTGAGCACCGCAGACTCCACATGGGGATCAGGGACTTAGGAAGCTCTCCCCTGGGGAGAGCAGACACTCCTGAGAAGAACAACTCAGAGGCTCACAGCTCGCAAGGTGCAGAAGCCAAGAGCTGGCACTCGCCAAAGCGCATGGATACCGAGGTCCTGCGTGACTTTACTAGCGCTCGTCTGTGGGTGTCATTTCATCAGCGTGCTGGTGGTGATGACACACGCATGTCTGTGTACAGGTGGGCCACTCACAGGGGGCTGAGCCTCTGAACACCCTGGGGACCCAGCGCAGACAGAGAGGAGAGACAGCTTCCCCGGCTCCCTCATGCCAGCCTGCAGAGCTCTGTGCCTGTCGGTGTGCAAGATCCACCGTGTGAATACACCACAAAGTCACTCTGCTGACAGGCGCCCCTGGCTCAGACTGCCATGGAGAGGCTCTGAGGGTCGTTCTCTGCATGTCTCTGGCCAGCACGCAGAGTGTGTCTGCTGGATCACAGGCATGCCTCTGTTTGGTTCTGGCAGAAACTGCCTAAAAATGTTTCCCAAAGTGCTGACCCCATACACCCACCAGCTGGTACTCTTTTAAATCTATTGGTTCATTTTAGATACACACAATCATCATATGCCTCATAGGGAATTTGTACCTGTACGTAATACATTTTGATTCTTTTTTCCCAATTTCCTATCCTCTCTTTAACCCCTCTTCCTCTCCTTATTTACAAAAGCTTTGTTTCCCAGCAGCTATGGAGCTCTCTGAAATAGCCAGGTTAGATTCCAGGAATGGTGAGATGTGGGGAGTCATAAGCAGGGGGAGATACACCCTGCCGACCTAGGAACGAACTAAGCTGAGAGAAACCAACTAGAAATGCAATCTCGGTGCTACGACTGGAACAGCTGAAGTCTCAGTGCCGAAGATGGAACCCGCACCTCTGGAACCGCAGCTTGAATTTCCTGCCGCTGCTGCTGCATCTGAATCAGCACAGGAGGGATAGAGACACAAAAGCTCTGAGAGCAGGAATCGGCAAACCGAATTGAGAGCAGAGCTGGTGGGGAGCCCTGCATCGACCTGTGGTGAATGAGAGGAACGGGGACCCTTCCATGGAGTAGGAGGCTCCACCAGAGGATATTCTGGGACCGGGCAGACTAGCTGGAACAGGACGCTGCAGTGACTTCAGTCACATATTCCCCTCTCAAGCGGGATTGGTGGGGAGCACTTGACCTGGGTGACTCCATGGACTAAGACCCAGCAGACTAGCCCAAACCAGATCCCTGTGCCTGGCAGTGCACCCTAATGCAGTGAAGCCTTCAGCAGGTTGACTGACCTGGAGGGGCAAACCCAGCATAGGCTGCCCAGGTCTGTGTCTCACTAGTACACTGCAGTGGGTGGGAACACCTAGCCAGTGCGATTCAAACAAACTGTAACTGACAAAGAAAGAAACTGGGCCTCCTATATATGCTTGTATGGAAGGAACAAAAAGTATGGGAAGAGGGAGCAACAAGAAAGGGTCCTCAGTGCCCAATCCTGAGAATACTGATCCAGGAAAGGTAAATGCAAAGGAGAATGAGGACAGAAAACATGCAATATCAGGCATGGCACCAATAGACATAAAGTGATATCTCCGGGACTTCATGGACGAGTTCAAAAGTGAAGTATTTAACCGAGTAAAGCAAGATATAAGTAGAATAGTTAAAGAAATGCTAAGTACCTCCCAAGAAAAAAAAGATGGTGAAATGGAAGAATAGAAAAAAAAAAGGGGAGAATTGTTTGATGGAGAAAATAGAGAAAACATAGAATACATGAAGCAGGTTCAAAGAGATTACCAGGAAAATAAAAACTCTACTGAAGCTGGCATAACAGCTTGAAAGAAACTAAGGATAGATTATCTGAACTGGGGGACAGATTTGTAATGTGGGAGCATGAAAGGAAAAACTTCTTAAAAATAACAAGGAAACAAGCAGTAAGAATACAAAGGCTAGAATATGATAAGAGGATCTATAACTTAAGAATTAAGAATGTAAAGGAAGAAGCAGAGGCTGCAAAGGCTATTCACAGAAATAATCAAGGAGAACTTCCCTAATATGGGAAAAGGTAAAGATACTCAGATGTATGAGGCATACAGGACCCCAGCCACCTACAACCCAGACAGAACTACACCCAGCCATATAATAATCAAAATTCCAGAAATCCAATATAAGAACAGAATATTAAGAGCTGTCAGAGACAAGAAACAGATCACTTACAAGGGAACACCCATCAGAATTACAGCAGACTTCTCGGCACAAACCATCAAATCATGAAGAGCATGGGGCAAAATAATTCAAGCTTTGAAAGACAATAACCTCCAGCCAAGATTGATATATCCTGCACAACTGTCCCTAGAAATTAATGGAGAAACAAAGTGCTTCCAGGATAAAGAGGAACTAGGGGAATTTGCAACCACCAATTCAACTCTACAGAGAATACTGCAGGACATTGTAAAAGAGAAAAATAACAAGATTACAGAAACAGTGGCAGGGAGGCCACAATGAATGAAGCAGAAAGTGAAATGAAGAAGACAAACTGACAACTAATGACAGAAAAAGAGCTCAACAGAAATGAGGCAGAGAAGGTTGGATGGTAGGAACAGCTATTTTGGAGAAAACAAGACATCATAATAGCTAGTGCTGATTTAATATCATCTTGTTTTGAAGTCCCATCAAGCTTTTGTTCTTCTGTCTCCATCGGTCTTAACATTTTATCTTATTGGATTTTATTTATATGTGACAATATAAACAAAAACTTTTATAGACAAGGAGATAATACAGAAACCATTGTTCATTTTCTGTTAGTTGGTTCTAAATACCCTGTAATACTGTCATTCTCTTGAATGTTTTACATTGTCTTGATATGTTTGCTGCTACAGTATACGAAGTTATAGTCAAAGATTTCGAGGAAAGAAACACTGTGGTAACTACTTTTATGTCAGAATATCTTGTGGTGAAGCACTATTTTGCTTAAATGGTTGTGTTCTGACCTGTGCTGTTTTGTTGTTATGTCCTCTTTTACTTTAATCTCCTTTTTTTAAATTTTTATCTTTTTAATTAAGGGAAAAAAATAAAAATAGCAGGATATATTATAGTAATCCACTTTGATTTCCTGTTAACTTGATTTGAAACCCTGTATTGCTCTCACCATCTTGTTTTGACTGATTTTACTCTATTTTGTTTTGCTTGATAGTACCAAGTTTGAGAGTATAGGCAACAACTGTGAAGACAATAAGATTCACTATGATGCCCATTCTAGTTTGACTATTATCTTCTTTTGAAGTCATGCAATGTCTCCAATGTTTTGGTTTTCTTCTTTACTGTTTGTTCAATTTTATTATAATTGATGATATAATATAGGCAACTCTTCTTAAGATAGCAAGACACATTTTGGTAACCATTGTTGATCACCTTGTATTTTGTTTTTACATTATGTACTATGGCCATCCTCTTGATTTAACTGACTCTGTTTTGTTATGTCACATTTGGTTTTATTCTCTTCAAAAAAAAGTAGTAAGAACTGTGGGAGTAATAGAACCCAAAATGTGTAATCGTCGTAAAAAAGAGAGGAAAAGAAAGTGCTCTAAAGGATATAACTGCATATATATTTAAGTGTATAAGATAATCATATTACTGAGTTTTTGTTGGGTCATTGAACAGAACTGTTTGCAGTCTCACTGTTTGAATGTCCACTTTATATGCTTTAATTGTGTAACTTGAACAACTATTTCTAAGATGACAATATGTAATCTATTAAGTAGTGATTTCCTACTGGTTTTTTTTTTTAATTCTGTATAACTTGTAACCTTTTTTTCTTTTTCTCCTTAAATAAAATTTTAAAAAAACAAAGCTTTGTTTCCATTTCATCCTTTTAAAAAAATTGCTTTGTTTTCCATTTTCCTTCCTTCCTTTTCCCTTCCCCCACCCAAGTTCCTCTTTACAATATCTATTATACATTTTGGTCCTTATTTGCTCTTTCAGTTTCTCATACCAGGGAGACAATACAGTGTTTACACCTGTGTGCCTGATTTATTTCACTTAAGAGTATAGCCTTAAGTTGCATTCATTTACCTAGAAACGCCTCAAATTTATCCTTCTTTATGACTGAGTAGTACTCCATTGTATAAGATGTAAAAGATGTATAAGCCACATCTTTTTTATGCCTTCCTCAGCTAATGGGCATGTGAGTTGTTCCCAAGATTTAGCTATCACAAACTGAGCTGCTATAAACATGTGTGAATATATCATGGTGGTATGATACTTTTAATTCTTTCTTTTAATATGTTTTATTTATATATTTCATGACTTTGTAACTCTTGTACAAGTTATAAAACAAGCATGTTCTTTCTACATTGCAAAACAAAAATCAGGAAGCATATAATTTTTTATTTTTTAAGGAGAAAAAGTAAGCATAGTAAAACAGTTTCAAAAAGTTTAGTAGGAGTTATAATAATTAATACATTGTATATTTGTTGTCTTCATAGTAGTTATTCAGAGTAAAGATACAGGCATGACATCTTGTCCAAACCTTTCTTTTCAATGAACTTAGTACAAACCTTTCTTTTCAATGAACTAAGGGAAACTAGCTGTATAACTATCTTAACTATCCTGTGTACATAAGTATTTTTCTTTTTCCTTTTCTTCCTTTCTCCTTTTGCCCATCAGTTTGTCCTGATGCTTTTAATTCTTTAAGTACAAGTATGCTAGAAGCCGTAATGTGAGGTCTGTCTCAGGTAGGATTCTGCAGGCACACAGGCTCCTCTGCACTGGAAGTCAATGTGGGTCCTTGCGCCGCTATCTACCAGGGCCCTGCTCACCTGAGTCCCTCAGGGCCTCTCTGACCTTGTCACCTCCCCCAACCCAAACCCAGGACTCTGCCACAATCACTTGAGTCCTCTGCTGCGACCACAACACGAAGGCTTCCATCTCATGGCCTTTGCTCTGGTTCTGCTTGCTGAGCTCTTTACCCCCAGGCTCCTCAGGTTTCCTCAAGGAGACTTGGACAAGCCCTCCCCTAGCCAGGCCAGCCGCTCCACGCTGTCACAGCCCCTGCACACCGCACTGAGGCGGATGCAAGCTGAAAGCCCTGGAGGGCAGTGTCTAGTGCCTTCTCTAGTGACACCCTCAACACCAAGAAGCCTCTTAGGGATGCAGAGCTGGAAATGAACAGATGCTGCTTCTCCTTCACAGCCACAGATGGCTGAGGAGACTGCCCCTTGGGTAAGGGCCAGACTTCTACTCTCAGTCACTTTAGGCCTCACTTTAGGCCACGTTTGTACTTCTGGCTTCTCTTTGAGGACCATCAGCCGAGCATTCCAAAACATTTTTTTTTTCTTTTTTGGTACTGAGATGGAAACTAGGGCCTCACACAAGCAAGGCAACTATCACCACTACACCACCACTGAGCTCCACTGCCGACCTTTTTTTATTTTGAAGTCAAGTTTTGCAAAGTTGCTCCAGCTGGCTCAAACTTACAAGCCTCCGGCCTTAGCCTCTCAAATTGCTAAGATTATAGGTGTGTTCCACCATATCCAGCCTCCAAAAACTTTATAAAGAAGGAAAGAGCTGCTTTCTCATCTCACCTACAGCTTTATCTCTGAGTCCCAGGTTGTGGCTTTGGAGACAGAAGGACAAGCAGTATGGGAGATGTGCAGCATATGCACCACCCTGCTTGGGCAGGGGGGCCCTTCCTGGGCATGTCAGAGCCCACCCACTCCTGCAGGGGAGAGGAGCTGTAAAAAAGCCAGCCAACAGTGCCCTCAAGTCACACATGATGGAACATCGAGGAGCAGCACCTTGTACCTCAGAATCTCCTATCTCTGGCCTTGGCCCAGGGCCAACACACATGAGCGAGAACCCAGACTTTCGGGGGTCTCCTGGACACAGCTGCAGCCCCTCCAGGGCAGAGGGCAAGCCCTGGACTGTGCTCCCCAGATGCCTGTGGGTTTTACACACAGTTCCACGATGCTCACCTGAGAAGCTGGCAAAGAGGCGGCAAAACTGTGAGAATCTGTTGCGGTGGAGCCACTGCTGGGCGTCTTGGATGGAGGCTGATGGCAGCAGGTGCTGCAGGAGAGAGAGGAGGCCTTGAGAAGCCACTCAGAGCCACCCAAGGCCACCACCCCAAATCCCAGAGCACACACTTACATCACTGCCCATGGGCAGGGCCTCCACCTGGTGCGTCGGTGAGCTGTTGCTGCAATGAAAAAGGGACAGGAAATGAGCATGGGAGCAGTTCTTGGAGACATGCAGAAAAGTCACCTAGCCAGGTGCTTATGTCCCATCAATTACAGGACTTTTTGTAAATGAAATGAGTGCTCCAGGATTTCTAGTGTCAGAAAAATACAGAAAGTCAGCATCCAGTCCCTCTGAATGCCTGAAGGACCCATGGGTGTGGGCAGGAAGTTCTGCAGGGCTACACTGTCCTGACCCTTGCTAACTCCCTGTCCCAAGGAGTGAGAGCAACCACCAAAGCCGCTTGCTGGCTGATTGGTATTCCCACCAGCTGCAGGTTTCCATCCCGCTCCAGCCCAAGGGGAAGGCAGCTGACCAAGGGGACCTGACTGCCTGCTCTGCGTAATCAGCACCTGGAAGGCTGTGGACAAACCAGAGTCACCCACCAAATCCTTTCCATGTGGCCAGAATTTGTAGTGTCTAAGCATCCACAGGTCCACACACATCCATGGCCAGGTGTCCCCTGTGGGGAGGTGCATGGCCCTCTGTAAGGGTTAACTCAGGAGGTGCAGATTGGAACACTTGCTTTTGTAGGTGAGAGAAAAGACACCTCCCTGCCATAGTCCCTGCAACAGCTGTACCATGACAACAGTAGGCTGAAGGCTGATGAACCACATGATAAAGGCTACATTGCACATACTGCACCATAACTTTTAAAAAATCCTCACAAGGATGACTCTCAGGCCAGTTGTTAGAAACAGCAGCTGTCCTTCATGGAACGTCCAGAGTGCCATGAAGGCATCACGTGCATGATACTTGTGACTCAGGTGGAATTCTATGCTGTTTGTAGTGGGGAAACCAAGGCTCAAGAAAGCTAAGGCAGTTACCCTGAATAAGGTGTAGATGTAAAACTAGGCCTCCCGGACCTAAATACAACCCTTTTCTTTGTCTCTCAGGCAAATGCTTAGCTTTTTCAAAATCAAGTTCACGAGCAGCCTTGCTGTTTCATTAGAAAGTTCTGGGAATATCGAGAAAGTTCTGGGAAGTCTGTTAAGCAGGGCTATAAGACAGTGGTAGGCAGAAGCCACTTGGGTTCCTTGCTCACCTATGAAACTACCTGGCCTAGCAAGCCTCCATCTCCACCCCTGCTCCCACAGCAGGCCTGGGAGCCATTGTGCTAATGGCCTTGGCCCTGGGCTACATGGCCCTTGACACTCAGAATCTGCTGGCGATTCGGCATTGTACTGTCATAGCATCCTTGATGTGGCAGGAGGATCCTGTGTGGAGACATCTCTCACTGAGTGTGACAGGCAATGTTAAGGAGCCAGAGGATTCCCATCTGGGCCACCTGTCTTGGGACTCTCAGAGGGGGCCTGAGGCTAGCCCATGAGGCTATCCTAACCCACTGCAGACCCTGGTTTTACAAGGAAAGCCCCAGGCTGCTGTCTCACAGATGATATTTATAGATGTGTAGACATAAGAACAGAAAGAGCTATGCAAAAGCTAAACACAGCTGTGGCTGTGACACCAGTTAGCCATGCTGAAACCTGAACAGATGCCAGAAAGTGGGAAGGGAAAAGCCAGAAGGGAATGCACACCTTGTGAGCCAAGGTCCCAAAGGGGAAAAGGTAAGACCTACCCTTCTCCAAGGCCGAAGCTGTTGGGAGAGCCATTGTAGCTCGGGGACGGGGCGCTGTTCACCTGGTAAGCCACATCTGGCCAGGGAGAGCACTGAGGGAGGAGAGACAGGAGTATGAATCATGAGCAGAAATCCCCAGAAAGAGCAGAGGTCGCAAAGGCACCGAGCCATCACCTCGGCTCTGCCGAGGAAGCATCTGCCAACACCAGGGCACCACACCGGCTTGTCCTCAGGTAGCCCATGTTGACTGGGTGTCAACAATCAGCCAGAGCTATGCAGGTTCTTACGGTCACACAGTGGAAGCCAAACACAGCAGAGGAGCAATCGAACATTCAAGAACTCAGCCTCAGACAAGCAAACTGGGAAAGATGCCTATTCAAGCTTCCTAGTAGTCAAACAAGAAACAAACATCACGGTCATGGGATGCCAAGCCCACGAGAAAAAAGGATGATGAAAACAGGCCTGCTACTCAGAAAATTCTTCTGTACAGACCACTGTGGGTGCACAAGTGCCAGAGGGACTATGGGTAACTTTCAGAGAAAAAATATAACATTCACTATTAAAAATCTGTGCTATTTAAACAGAAAAACCTGTGGACAGGTCCATGGCAGGCAGGAGACACATTTGTGCTCTGCCTATATAACTCTGGGTGTCTGTTCCATGTCAGCCTCCGGCTCGGGAACCCAGGAGACAGACACACACTGAAAGTGATGTGTGTCCTCAAGCAGTTCCAGTGTAGAAATCCAAAAGAAGCCCACCTGGGTTTCCCCAAAGAAAAAATAAAAAGACAAAGACCTGCAGGCTTGCTGGGCTAAGTGAGCAGACAAATGAACCTGCATTTCTTCCTTTGCCGATAATCCACAGGGAGCATTCCTGAAGATTTACTATCACCTACTCAGCCCTAGCCTTAGTAAATGTTTAACTGCTGTGAGCGTGGGCTGGAATGTGTTGGTGTTAAATCCTGCAGCCGGAGGAGGAACACCGATGAGCCGATAGAAGCGGAGAGCCAGCACCTCCCGGGTCGAAGTTGTGACCCACCAAGTTTCCAGCATCAACACTGCCCTGAGATGAGGACAGAGATAGATAAGTATGAATCCACCAGCAGGTCTCCTCTGCACAGAAGCCAAGAGAACGGCAAAGGAGCTGAGGCTCAGCCTGGAAGAGACGGGACGTTTCTGGTGGCCTCACCAGCACAGGCAGAGACAGGTATGAGAACAAAGGGCTCTGAGTTCTCATCCATAAAGCGCAGCTCCCCCTGAACCAAAGCTTTCCAGTCACTGTTGTCCTCACTCACAGAAAACCACATGCTTGACCACATTGGCTTCCACAGCACCTGACTACAGGTCCTCTTCTGCTTGTGGCCAATCGTGTGTGCACAGACACACAGACAGGCACCCTGGGAGCTAGTGCTGCCCACCTGCCCTGCCCTTTGTGCTTCTGTGCCCAAGCCCCGATCTAACACAGCCTTGGCTCCAGCTGGCCACTGTGGTCAAGTCTCATACATACCTCCTGCACGAGTCCAATTATTTTCTGAATAAATGCCAATGCAGGTTAGCGGGCCCGATTGCAGAGCACAGAGAGGAAGAGCTGTTCCAGGAAAAAACACAGCCCAATAGAAGTGGGTGTGCTGGCTGCGGTATTCGACAGCAAGCACCTTGAAGACAGCCCCAGACACAAGGGTGGTTGCAGCAGGCTGCTTTTGGTGCCTGTTTTTGGTTAAAAAGAAATGCTTTTTAATAGCTACCCAGGCGACAGGGCCAGGCTGGAGGTGTGACTCAGTGGCACAGCACTTGCCTGGTGTACACACAGCCATGTGTTCTGTCGTCAAAACTGCAAAAAAGAGCCAAGTGTGGTGGCATGTACCTCCAGTCCCAAGTTCTCAGGGTCCAAAGCAGCAGACCGTCACAAATTCAAGGTCAGTCTGGGCTCTATCGTGAGTTCCAGGCCAGCCTGAACTACACAGTGAGATCCCGACCCAAAAGCCAACAGGTACACAGTCCACCATGGTGGCCCACTCTGAGAAGGGAGCCCTGTGAACAATCTCACTGCGCACAGACCTGCGCATCACAGTTATTCTCCACTCCACCACCCGCACAGGCAGAGCTGGAAACAACCACACGATCACCAACTGGTCATCACTCCTGAAGAGTAAAAAGGTGAACGAGAAGCCAGGTGGCTCTTTATGAACAGGCAGAGAACAGAGTCCAAATAAGCTGTTAAGTGAAAACCATGCATGCTGTAGAAAAGTGTGTCCATGTGTTGCTGGCTTGGGGCAGAACCATGCACTCCGTGGCCACAGATCCACAGCCACAGGTATAGAGAAAGTCAGGTGGAACAGCAAGGCTGGCTGCCCCAGTGGAGCAGCTCACAGGCTACGGCAGTGGCGGCTGGGATATTTAGGGTTGTATACTACTTTGAATTTTGCACTGTGTGAACCTGTTACCTAGTCAAAGTAATATGAACACCCTAATTTCAGAAAATTAAATGCATTCAAAAGCAGCAGAGAACATGAAACAATTTCTGAAGTGTCTTCCCGCCTCTGGATCATAGATAACGGGCACCACAGGCCCAGGAACTGTGCACAGCTACATGGGTGCTCTCCAGTGAGGCTCTCGCCTGCCCAAACAGGCAACCATCCAAGGCTCTAAAGGACAGCCCTGAGCCCAGCAAGGGCCCTGGACGTCCTGTCCCCAGACCAAGGTTCACCTCTGTGAGAATGGTGGTTTCGTAGGATGGCTGGTACTTCTCCTTCTCTTGAGCAGTTCTTTTCTCCATCTTTTCCCGGTCAGTCTTTTGTTTCCGGTCAGCTCCCTTTGGCTGCAAGTACAAAGCACGAGGTCCAATCCACCCAAAAGGAGCCAAAGCAGTGGCTGGTGAGAAACTCCAGGCCTATCCATCCCTGGCTCACCCTGGGACTCCGAAGCACAGCAGAAACAGGACAGCTGCTCTGTCACTTCAACAGGTCCAAACTCACAGCCCTTCATGGAGTCTGCTACTGGCCTGCCTCTCAGCTGTTCATGGGGAAGTGCCTGGGAAAGGCTGCTGCTAATGACCACTAGCTTCCAGAAAGGAACCAGGCCTGGGGAACAGGACAAATCACAGTGTGCTCCTGTGGACACTCGTGAAGAGCAAAGGAAGCGGAAGAAGGGGCCTTGGGTCTGCTTCTGTGCTAGCGGGCTGGGAAACGCTGAGAATCTATGAAAAACCTCCTTACCCACCTCTGAGGGCTGCTGCTGAGCCTCCAGCTTAATCTCCATGCACAAGGTAGCAGGGTGACAATAATCCTGACTGTGTAATAACAGGGCCTTTTAAAAGGCGGGAGGGAAAGAGCAGAGTCAGGTAGTGCCCTGTGAGAAGGATGAAGTGGCTTTTGCTGGCTTTGAAAATGCAGGGAGGGGCCCCAGGCTACAGAACAGACAGGGCAGCCCACGGAGGATGAAGAAGGCATGGAAATCGATTCTCCCCTAACGTCTCCAGCAAGGAATGCTGGCCCACTGACACTGTTAAGTCAAGTGAGACCCACCTCGCACTCCTAACCAACTCTAAAATATCTGTGTACCTAGTTTTGGGTTTTTTGTTTTGTTTTGTTTCATCTTGCAAGGTTGGGATGGAATCTAGGGTATCACACACGCTAGGCATGCATTCTACCACTGATTTATGCTCAGTCCTTTTTTTTTGTTTTCATTGATGGTCCATCAAGTAATCTACAGATTGACCTATCAATCAATTGATCATGATACTGAGGATTGAACCTGAGGCCTTAACACTGCGCTACACCTCTGATCTTTTTATTAATTTTTTTTTCCGAGTCAGGATCTCTCTAAAGAGCCAAGGCTTGACTTAAACTTGTGATCTTCCTGCCTCAGTCTTCTGAAAATGGATCACAGGGATGCACTGCTGCACGCAGCTTTGGTTTTGGGGTTTCTGTGTGTGTGTTTGAGACAGGATCTCACTATCTTGCTCAGACTTGTCTCTAATGCCTGGTTCAGTGATTAATGAGCATAGTTTTATGCCACTAACTATGGCACAACAGTGAGAAACAAATGCAAGGAAGGTTCAAGCTTCCCGGGATGGGGCTCCCCTTCCAGGACTCCTGACCGTAAGTGGTTTCTGAGGACAGTTCCTCTATGCCTCTGGCAAGAAAGACAAACTCCTGATGCTCACGCACCCTGCCTGCCTGGGCCAGCACCCCTCACTGACCATGGTGTGCCCATCCAGCTAGCCAGGCCCAAGGAGTCCCCCGAGCAGACCTGTGGGAGACAGACCCTCTTGCCACAGGGTCCCAAGAGCAGAGTGCTTCCCCAATTCCTCAAGCGGCCAGCACAAGCATGGTCCCCAAATCCCTATCAAGGGCTCTCTGGGTACCAGGCCCTGTGGTGGATGCTACAGAAGGCAACAGTACAGCTCTGTCTTCAGGGGCCTCCAGGGTCATGGTTCTTCCTGTGGGGATTTATTTCCACATCTACCCCCAGGTCAGAAAAACCAACTCAGAAGCAGCTTTCTCTCTCATGAAGCCTTGTCTAAAATGACTCACTCTTGACCTCCAACCCTAGGAGGCAGAATTTTGTCAGCTGGTTCCAAATTCACCTTGATGTGAAGAAGGTGAGCAGACAGGCACCGGGGCCAGGGACTCAGCAATCCCTGCCTAAGAGGTGATAACTTGCACTGCAGTTGTCAGATGATACAGGTCAAGCCTTTGGGGGACAAGGCCATCCACATGCCTTGAGAATGACTGTGGTAGCCCTCCCCTCCTAGGGTGCACAGGACAGTGAGCTACTATCTTCAGAAAATGATCAGTCCAGAAAGAGAGATGAAAACAGTGACGGGAGACTGCAGGGGATGAGACAAGAATGGAAGGGACACGAAGCACCTCGGAGAATCTGAAAATGCATCTTTTCCTGAAACTCTCCTCTCTCCCTCTCTCCCTCTCTCCCTCCCTCTTCTGTGAGTGTGTGTGCGTGTGAGTGTGATACCAGGGGTCAAATACAGGGCCTTCCATGTGCTAGGCAAGTACTCACCACCACTGAGCTACACCCCAATCCTCTTTTTCTAGGACAAAGCCAGTGTAGAGAATAACATTTGTATCAGGTAAGGCACACAAGGTGGAAGGAGGTGGGCATGGCTTCACAGTCTGGAGAATCTAGATGTGAGACTCTGCCAGCACATCTAAAGTGCTGGGGGGGCGGGATCTAAAAGTTTGCAAATCAGTCATTCTTAGAAAATCCATATGGAGCTAAGCACTGACATCAGAGACCTCAACATTTCTGATGAAAACTGAGCAGGTATTGCAAATGAGAAGACGTCCCTGTGTGGACAGAAGCCCTGGGCTAGAGGAATGCCGCGCTCCTGGCTCAGCCTCTAGGCACCATCGCCAACGTCACCCATGCGGCACTGCTCAGATGTTCGGCAGATGTGCAAGCAGGAAGTCAGGAAGCCATCCTACCTTGAACACCTTGATCTGGCAGCTAGCTGAGTGCAGGTGCTCTGTGTACTCCCCATTCTCGTTCTGCTTGAACGTGTCAATCTGCACCCGGAAAGGCACTCCCTTCTCTCCCCCGTGCTTCCTGGGTGTGAACTCCGTGCTGATACAGTGTACCTAGGAGAAGATGAGGGGTGGGCGGTCAGGTGGGGGCAGCTGGCAGGTCTGGGCTCCCTTGGGGGGCTGCTCTCCATCCTTGCTGCCTCCTTTTTGCTCACCTAGACCACTCCACCAGACCAGGGGCCTCCTTGTCCTCCAGCTGCAAGACACACCTGCTGCCTCTGGTCCTTTACTATAGGGCCCCTGCCTGACACACTGAGAACTTGTCACTGCCCCGGGCCACTGTCCCTGACAACCCCACTCTGGCTCCTGACCCAGGGACCTCTCCACTGGCAAAGCCAGACTGCAGGGCAGAGCTCTCAGCCAAACCCTGACCTCTCTCTAACTGCCCTGGAAACACAGCCAGGCTGGATGCATAACCAGAATGCTGGAACCATTTCCACATTTCTCATACACTTGATATATATTTGTTATAATATTGAAGCAATATTGTAGTAATATATATATACTATTAAAATATGTAATAACATCATAATAATGATTCTTAAGCACAAAATAAAAATATTGTTTAAGAAGAGATTTCTTGAGTGATTTCCATGGGACAGATACTGCATTAGCATCTTTATATTCATGATCTGATTTACAAATAGATGGGAAAACTAAGAGAAATGAAGTGCACCAAGGATCACATGGCAAAAGCAAGTGAGAGAGGCTGGAGTCCGCAGCGGCCACAGCCTGATGAGCTCAGCTGGCGTCTGGCGAGGCAGGACCCATCCCAGGTGGAGAAAGAAATAACTCACTCAATAGTAGAAACTATAATGGAAAAAATATTTACTTTCCAATTATCTATGCTAGGAAATACTGATTTTTTAAAAGCTTATGTAAGCAGAACCTAAACAGAATTCTAAAACGTTGCATATTTTTTTCCTGACCCTACTGACCACCTTGCTCTGTAACTAAGGAGGGATCTTGCTGTGAGGCCTGCCCATGTGGGCTGCTTTGCAGAATTTGTGCCCTGAATTCCAAAGCTCCCCAGCTCACTCACCTGAATGAACGCAGATGCCCTCTTTGCAGGGTCCCATAAGAACTCAACTGCGTTCAGCTGGGTTGGGCTGGCCCTGGGGTCCAAGATACCAACAGACAGTGGAATATCTGTACACACACATACACACACACAAAAGTGCAGGTGTCAGCCTCTCCCAGATGCTCAGGGACGGGTCCTCGTTACAGGTCCAAATTCCTTCACAATTTGAAATACCCAGTCACCAGCAAGCTCTTAGGAGAGCTCATCCCATTTGGTTTTGCTACAGAAACACTGTGGCCAGATGCCTGTTTAAAGTCTTCCCTGATGCCACAAACACTTGTACCTTCTAAATTCTGAAACTCACCTGAACCCAAGGGCTGGAAACAAACAAATGAAGGCTAGAACCTGAGTCCTCAAAATTCTGTTTGCGTTGCCCCATCCATTTCTATAATGTCCACCCTTCCTTGTGTAGAGCCTGCTAGGAATTCCCTGATGACAGGGCTTTCTGAGTGCTTCAGGCTGGAACTCACCGATGTCCAGGATTCGGTCTCCTGGCCTGCTCCACCGCCAGCCCTCCAGCTGTTGGTGCTCTGTGTACTGCAGCCGGCGGTCGTGGAAAACCACTCGAATGATGCTCTGGGGAAGTAGGCGATGAGGGAGACTGGCCATGGGGCCCAGGGGAGCCCAGGGGAGCCCAGGACAACCCTATCCACCTCCCCAGCCCAGTAAGGACAGACCCAGGGTCCCCACATTTCAAGGCCTCTCCCGTCCTCGGTATCCATCTATTACTCCCCCTTAAGAACCCCAAGAATACTCAGAATGGTAAGAATAATGACAACATTTTTTATTTTTTTCAATACTGGGGACTGAATCAGGGTCTTTGCCCTGAACTACATCCTCAGTCTTTTTAATTTTTAAAGCAGAAGAGGGTCTCAGTAAGTCACTAAATTTCCCAGGCTGAACTTGAACTTGTGACCTCCCATCTTCACAGTGGTGAGATTACAGCCGTGTGCCACCAGGGCTGGCCTAATGACTACCATTTATCCTAGGACTGCAGAGGGCTTTACACACATGTCTGGTTTAGAAACCCTCCTTGCAGATGAACAAACTACAGCTCAGAAAGGTTCAGTAAATAGCAAAGAACCACAGGCTACTCCATTAGTCCAAGCCTTTCTGGCCCTGATGCTGCCACCCTGTTGGCTCCCCTGTGGAGAGAACAGTATGGGGGCTTCTGTGTACCCCTGAAGGCCAACGGCCAAGCAGAGCACCATCTTTTCCTCTGAGGCCTTTCCCTACCCCCAGCAAGCCCAGGTGCTCAGGCCCCTGCCAACACCCAATTTCCACCCCAGCAAGGCTTACAGGGCTCACCTTGACATATTTTGTGTTCAGATCTTGAAAGTCTCCCAACTTCCGGTTCTCCAGCAGTCGGATTTCATAGGATTGACCTGCAGGGAAGTTAATGGTACAATTTCCACTTCTGAATGTTTCCAAATTTGGGGCTCACCCAGTTAGCAGCCTTCTTATTGCACTCAGCACCTCCCCACGATGGCATCTTCTGGAACCATGCCACACTATCAGAATCTGGAAAGTGATGCTGATGGCATACATTTCATAGATCCACAGACTTTACTGGGATTTCCCTGGGTTTTACATTCACTTATATTTATGTTTTCTTTCAATCTGAAACCCAAATCTCAGTAGCTGCCTCCAGGTTCAGAGGGGCAAAAGAGAGAAGAAAAAGTCTACAGCCAGCTGAGCTCATTCTGGAGACTGAACCCCCAGGCTGTCTGTTCAGCCTGGTAGACACTGGACACCCCAAAGAGTCCACTGTGGGGGATTCTTCATCTTGCCAGTGGCCAAAGGAATAGATGCAAGAAAATAAGTTAGTGTTAAAACCCAGAACCTGACTCTGGGTCTTTACAAGGAAGCCACGTACACACCTGGATGGAGAACATGGCACTTAAGTTGACATTACTAGTCACCACTCCTGCGAGCAAGCTGTAAGGAAGATGCCTGTTAAACATTGTCTAGTGGCAGAACAGAAAGCATTCTCCCCAGTTAAAAGAATTCCATGTATTTGCAGGTGTGAGGTTCAACTCAGTGACATATACCCAACATGAGGGGTGACAGAACACAAATGGAGAAAAGATCCATCTGTAAGCACAACACAAAACTCAACAGTATAAATAACCTGCAGAAAGCTACACGCTTTACAGAATGTCAGATACAAGCTGGATAAAAAGGATACAGTATGTTTCGGGATGGAAGATAAATGATGTGTATCAAATGCAGTCCATTTCTCCCAATATAAATATTACACTCCAGCATATATTATAGCTAATGAAGGATGCTTTACAAGTAAAAGAATAAATTATTTAATCAGAGTAGGAAAATCAAATTTTTTTTTAGTATTGAGGATTGAACTCAGTACTACACCTATGTTAAGCAAGTGCTCTATTACTGAGCCACACCCCTGGCCTCTTTTTATTCTTATAACTATAGACTGGTCTGAATAAAGATATCTCTCGGGGATGGCATCTTATGGAACTATGTCACATTATCAAAACCTGGACAGTGATGCTGATAGCATACATTTCACAGATCTACAGACCTTACTGGGATTTCTCTGGGTTTTACATTCACTTATATTTATGTTGTCTCTTAATCTGAAACCGAAATCTCAATCTCAATCTCTCTCTCTCTCTTTTTTCGCTGTCTCTGTCTCTGTCTCTGTCTCTGTCTCTCTCTCTCTCTCTCTCTCACACACACACACACACACACATACACACACACAATTTTATATCACTGTACAGACTATTCAAAGTACAGCTTCTCAGTGGGGTGTGGTAGTGCACATCTGTAATCCCACCACTCTGAAGGCTGAGACAGGAGGCTCAACATGATTACAACACCAGCCTGAGCTACAAAGTGAGTACAAAACCAGCCTAAACTACACAGCGAGATCCCGTCTTTAAAACAAAAAAAAACAAAACAAAACAAAAAAAAACAAGATAGGGGCTAGGGATTTAGCTCAGCAGCATAAGCGCCTGCCTTGCAAGCAGGCAGTCGTGAGTTCGATCCCTGATACTGATAAAAAAAAAAAAAAAAAACAAGATGAAACTGTACAGATTCTCACTTCACAGCATATATCAAAATAAATTACCACCAGATTAAAAAGTCAATTTCTTAAGTAGGGGAGGAAAGGGACATACTAGCCAAAGGATATAAGTGTGTTATACAGGAGGAATAAATTTAATAAATTTAATAGATGCATTGTGCAACATCATGAATATCAATAAAAACAATAATGTATCATGAAATATGGTAAGAGAATGTATGTCAAGCTTTCTCACTATAAAACACTACTATGTTGGATAATACATATACTTAATTAGCTCAACAGAGCCACATTATAATACATACATATTTCAAAACATTTTAAAACTCAATTTTCTAAAGTTTTATTTCAGTATCAGTGATGACTTATCAGACACTTAATAGGAAAGGACTTTGGGACTGAAAAATCAATGGAAAAAAGGAAACCTAAATATATAAAACATAAATCTATATATGTATATAAATGTAAAAAACTACTTACTACAAATAACAAACTAGGAACCACAAACCTACTGGCTAACAGTTACTAAGTTTTCAGAAGCAAGTGATTACTTAAATACAAAGGCTGAAGTATAGAACAATAGCAGAACACGTGCCTAGAATGTGCGAGGCCCTGGGTTTGCTCAATGCACAGAAAGGAAAGAAAAGAATCCTAAGTGCCTTGTTTTAATGGATTGAATGTGGTCATTAACCAGATAGCTCTGACCCTCCTTCCATAAACCTGGGAATGCTGATTCTGCACATGTATTTGTGAACACAGACTTTAACCGATAAAGTAAATTCATGATTCTGGGAGGAGGTGATAATCCCAGATTACCTAGGCAGGCTCTAAATCCAATGATGAGTATCTTTATTCAGAGCCAAAGAAGAGGCAGTGGCCATCTGACCACAGAGACAGCGACTGGACTGATGTGGCCACAAGCCAAGGAATGCAGAAGCTAACAGTAGCAAAGGAATCACGTTCCCTAAATCCTCAGAAGGGGTCCAGCGTGTCCCTGGCAATTTCCTACTTCCAGCCTCCAGCACAGTGAGAGAATACCTCTCTGTTTTTGTGCATGTGTGTGCATGTGTATATGTGTATGTGTATTGTTAAAGCCAGGGACTTCACATTGGGTTACAGTCCCAGCCCTTTTATTCATTTTTTACATATTGAGGTCAACATACGTTTAGTAATTTGTTACAGCAGGCAAAAGAAACAAATCTGTCAACACTCCATACCAGTGAATAATGAAATAGGCAAAGAATAGGAAATTAATTCATCCTGAATATCTGCTGAGCAGCAATGACATGCCAAGCTCCCTGAATCCTGAGCACACAGTAGTGACCCAAATGTGAACCCAGACCTTGCTCATTACAGCTCCTGCGATGCTAGCTGCTCACAGACAGGACTGCCCAGCCAGCTCTGATTCAGTCTATACAGTTATCTTAGAATGCGACGGGCACACGCTATGCACACAAGCACATCACGTCAGTTTGCTCAGGGGACTTGCTAGGTGCCAGTCCCAGGAAAACCCCAAACCCTCATGCTGCTCACCTTCCTGCTCAGAGACAGGCCTTAAAAGGGTGGTGATGGCCTAATCAGAAGGATGATTTTCTAAAAGTGGCAGATTTTTAGATACATTTCCGGGCTTCTGAACCAAGAGTCCAGTACGCCCTCGCCATGGACATGAAAAGAGCCCTACACACCCTAACTGGTTTTTCCAGTGTTCCCTGCCTTCCCTGATGAAGAATGTAGATGGTGCTGGCAGAGGCCCAAGGGCCAAGTGGTCATTATGTGAGTTTACAGGTGACCCAGGGGCCAGTTATTACTGACCCCAGGATTTGCAGGGCAGTCTCAATTTGGGCCAGGAAGAGGGGCACTGCCTGTTCCCAGAGAGCCTTATTCCACTTGCCTAAGAGGCAGAAATATTGAGTGAGACCTAGATGCCAAGTGGCACAGTGCTGAGCAGAGGACACATAATCCAGGCTTCAAAGGGCACAGGCCTCAGCTCCCAAAAGGCTGCTTGCCAAGTAGACAACACTCATGGCCCTGGGAAATTCAGTTTACACGACTTTGTGCACCAGCAGGGGCGTGACCCCAGAGGAGGGCTGTGGCAGGACCTTCTCCCAATGTGCCATCCTCCCTTGCCCTTAGTTTAAGGTCCTGCTTCAGCCACATTGCCCCTCCCCAACGCTTCCTGCCCATGTCTGCTCAAGGACACACACTGTGACGGCACCAACTTGCTCACATCGCACAGCGCCATCCAGAAGGCCCCCAACCAGTTCACACACCTGTCCAGGAGTGAGGACGTGGAAGTTGAACTGACCTAGGGTGCTACTCAGGCACTGACTCACCTGAACCCCAGGATGGATTAGCAGCAATAAGTGTCACAATGGCTCCTGGACAGGAGGAAGCAGAAGCCCAGAGAGGGGACCTGACTAGGGAATGGTCACTCAGGTAGGTGCAGAATCTAAGTGTGTCTCCAGCACCTCCCAAACGATGCTGGATCCTCCTGCTGGGCACAGAGCCCTGCAAGCACCCAGCACACAGGAGTCTCTTCTGCGGTTTCCTGCATGAGAGGTTCCACCTTGCTCCCCTTCAGGGTATCACTGTGCCTCCCAAGTTTACATCATTTCTATTTATTTCCCAGATTCTAAAAACTGATTCTAGAGGAGGGGGAAAAATCACTACAAGACATAGTAAAAGTAGAGCCAGGCATATTGTGCACGCCCATAATCCCTGCACTCAGAAGGCTGAGACAGAAGGAGCTCAGTAAGTTCAAGGCTAGTCTGAACCACATGGTAAGACCCTGTCTCAAAAAAAAAAAAGAAAAGAAAAGTTCTAATTCTGTTCTAATTCCAGAGCTGTGAAATCTAGAGACATTTTTTAAAAAAGACGAGCTCAGTGGTACAGTGTTTGCCTAGCAGGTAAGCATGCCTGAGGCACTGGGTTACATTCCCAAAACTATTTTTACAAAAAAGTGAGAGAAAAGGAAAAAAGTTCTATAATTTTAAAATAACCACTGTATACTGGTTGCCACCCAGCCCTGGGCCAGGACATGGCTCAACTCCTCATCTACAATTTTTCACTTCATCCACTTGATAATCCTAGGAGAAAAACCTATGGCTGTCCACTTTATAGCTGGGGAAATGAAACTGCAGAGAGGGTAAGTGTCTGTTAAAGATCAAGACAGGGTGTGTCTCACTCCCAAGACTGAGCTACCAAACCACCACCTCACACTCACAACACACCTATAGGATGTATAGCTGTGGCACAGGTCCCACATGGATCCAGTATGGCAAGAGGCTGGCCATTCTATTCCACCCGAATTACCTGACACTCATTTTA